TGTCATATTTCAGGATATTTGGGTATTTCCGTCTCTGGATATCAAATTTTGTGAGAATTATATGAGAATTATCTTCAGGTCTGTTGCATTCTTCACACAAATCGTCAGCAAAAACTTTCATTTTCGCCAGGGTACTTTTACAAAAAGAGTGACCAGTTAATAGTCTGTTTATTTGTTTAATTTCCAAGGGCTTAAAAAAAATGTTCTTATCAGAAAACCATGGTCGTTTTGACACCTGCGGAAAAATCCGGCCATAGTCGTTGCCTTTCGAGAGTATTCTGTTTTTGTATTTGAAAATTAGATCATTCTCGATCATGTTGATTGCGTCCTTTAATGGATATTTAGTATCAACGAAATTTCCTACTTCATGAGCATTTTTCGCCGCATCGTCAGCTAAGGCGCAATTTACATGAAGACTTTTCAGACGTCTGTTTTTTCCAATTCTCTTTTAAGAATCTTCCAAAAAATCATGAACATTTATACGGTGATTTTTTACATGCAACTATGCATGTCTTTTTTTGATGTTTAATTGTATAATCCTTTTAAACTTATTCGTAATAAAAATAAAATGAAATTTTTAACATAAAACCATTTAATTTGATTTAAAAAAAATTTATTACACGCTATAGTATTTTTTTAATGCAAATTTTAATGTTTTCATGTAAAAAAAATACATAATTATTTTTTTACATGAGCATAATATCAACAGTACGAATGAGTTTAAAGAGGAATGTCAAAAACAATCATGAAAATCCCAAATCATGTTTGTTTTCTTACCCCCCATTCTTCTCTACCCCGCTCACCACCAATCATCGACAAACATGAAAACAGACGTCTGGGCAAACATGAAAAAAAATCATCGTGTAAATTGGGTGTAAGTCATTGTAAATAATGTTGGAATGTCCAGGAATATAGTGAAATTCTACTTTTTCAATGTTGCTGTCAAACGTAAGATATTGTGAATGAAATAGTTTTCGGAGTAGTCCTTTTTCAAAGCAAGAATTCCACTTTTGCTATCCGTTAAAATGGCTAGTTTAGTAAAGTTCATCTCAGCAGAGAATTCAATAGCTTTTTCAATAGCCAGCAATTCGGCAGACATAGACGAAAGTTTAAAGTCAGTGTAGTAGCTATTTGTCCTTCCAGTACCCATGTGAACGTAAGCCGCTCCAGATGTGCAATCCCCCACAGAACCATCAGTGAATAAAATTTCGAAGTTTTCAATTTTAAGATTATTTGTCTTTTCGGAAAAGAGTAGGTTTGTATTAGAAGCTGATTTAGGTAATCTATTGTAAAAGTCCTCATAAAACGATATTTTCGATGAATTCAAACGAATACTTTGAAGTGGCTGGATTCTTTTAAATATATGACCATATATACGAAAGATTGTAGTGTAACTGGTATTAAAATGTGGAATGTTGTCTCCATCAAATATTTGGACTACCGATAAGCCAAAAGCAAATACCTTAGCCAATTCCTTGGCCGTGGAAAGTTGTATTCTATATTCGGGTGGTAGTTCTCCGGCAAGGTGATATATTAAATGCACTGGAGTAGAGCGAATTAATCCTAAACATCTCCTTAGGCTAGAGTTAATAGTAGTTTTAATTTTATTTGAGGCATATGTTGATAAATTTGCAAATGAAGATGCTGCATATTCAAGTTTAGACCGACTGTATGCTTTGAAAAATTGTAGAGCCCTTCTGGGATGTATTCCAAACCTGCATTCACTTAAAATGTTTAGAAAGTTACAAGTCCTATTGTGTTTAGCAACGATGTAATCAACGTGAGGTTTTATTGAGTTTTTGGAAGAAATAATTCTCCCTAAATATTTCAACTCGTTAACTTGATTCAAGCTAATATTGTCGACTGTGATGCCAAGACGTGTGTTGTATGTGTTAAAACACATGATGTTAGTTTTATTATGATTCAAACGTTTGTCAATATTGGCACAGATTTCCGTAAATTCCGATATTTTGTCGTGGAGAAGATTCTTCGCCTCCTGAAAAATATCTACATAAACAACCAAAAAGAAGTCGTCGGCGAATTGAAATAATTTACAGTTCTCATTTGAAACTTGATGAAGTGATATAGTAAATAAGTTGAAAAGTGTGGGGCTAAGACCACTTCCTTGTAATAGGCCTTTCCAGAGACAGAAGCATTTCCTAATAAGAGTGTACGATTACTTAGGAAGGAGTAAATCCATTTAATTATGTGAGTATTAAAGGCCATTCTTTCCAGTGAAGAACATAATAAATCCACATTTGTATTATCATAAGCTTTCTCCAAGTCTAAACATGCTGCCATTACACATAAACCTTTTGATTGTAATAGGCAAACTGTGTTTATTACATCATTAATGCATTGTGCTGTTGAACGATTTTTTCTAAAAGCATATGTTCTATCAGGGAATAAACAATTGTGCGAAATGTGATCCTCAATAATAATCTTCACCATTCCCTCAATAATTTTATAGAAACATGGTAAAAGGCTAATGGGTCTAAAATTACGAATTTCCGACTGATCTAGATTATAAAAATGAATTCTTTTTCTATAAAAATAGCACAAAACACAAAATTCTGAATCTTATATACCCACCTTCAAACCATATTTGTGTAGAATTTCATCGCTGTATTTTTAATTCAGTCATGAGCGTTAAAGTTATTTCTCGAAGTTCATCGCTATACTCGTATTTTTAAGCGAGTAATGAGCGTTGAAGTAATTTTCTTAAGGGGGCCTGATATGGAGGGTAAGGTCAATTATGGACCGATTCCCATAAAATTTGTTAGAGATTTCGGTTAGTATAGAACATGTTTGTATCGAATTTCATCGGCGTACTCGTATTGTTAAGCGAGTAATGAGCGTTAAAGTCATTATCTGAAGGACGGACGGACATAGTAGCTATGTCCGTCCCTAAAACTAAAATTTAATAAGAACCCAGAATGTGTTACAGTTTTGGGTATAAAAGCACCGCTTAAAACAACGGTATAGTTTTTTGCTACAACTTAGGTTATTTGTTATTTTTTATAAATGTCATTTTATCTTCATTTAAAAAATAATAAGGGTTTTCATTTAAACGCTTAAGTTTCCCATTTGTGCAAGTGGGCAAGTTTATTCGACTTGTTTCATGAAACCCCTGTTCAAATTCTGTTCAATTACAATATTTATAAACATTTTACAGCAATGTCAAACGAAATCAGAAAAAAAATTTATTATTTTAACAAAAATTTGTACAAAATATGTTAAAAATGTGAATATTCAAGACCATGAATTCAAAAGTGAACAATAGTGAACAGATTTATTAAATGAACAATGAGTTTGCTCAAGTTTGCCAGTCTAAATAGTCGCTCAAACTTATAAGGGTTGTGCAAATAAATTTTCATACAATTCAATTGCGAGAATGGAAACATGCACAGGTTGCACAGTTTACGAGGATTTTGAACGTTTAAATGAAAACCCTTAATATTTTTATTAGTTCGTTAAACAGAGTACAAAAACAAATTTTGTTCGTTATTTAAGGTAGTCAATAGGAAAAATTAGCTTGTTCGTTAAATGCGATGTTCGTAGAATTGAATGGTCGTTAAATCGGAAAACTACTGTACCCTTATCCTCCTCCATACATCGGGAATAGTTCCATTTGTCCATATTGTATTAAGAGTTTGAAATAACTTACTTTTCTCTTCGGATTGTAGAGTATTAACCATTCTGTATGAGATACCGTCGATACCTGGCGCAGAATCTAATTTGCGTGTGCTTAAAAATTCGTTAAAGTGCTGTATAGAAAGATCTGGTATTGTTGTTGTTGCCGGAGAAATGTAACTTACTGTAGATGTAATATTGCCGCCAGTTATATGATTTAGATAATCGTGTTGTTGTTGGTTATCCCAGGAATTATTGGCGTTCTTCACACATTTATATTTTTTAAGGTTCTTCATTTTACTCCACATTTCTTTTGCAGAAATTGGGTTTGTTACGTTTTCTACCACCTCAGCGAAATTTTGCTTCTTCTTTTCCTGAATGTGATGAATGAAATTTTCCTCGGCCGCTTTGTACTGACTTAGATTATCATTAGTCTTATATTTTCGGTATTTTTTTCTTAAGGCATTCCGCAAACGAAATAATCATAGAGATTCAGGCGACCACCAACTCTTCGGAACGTATTTACTGCCGGACGGGATTTTTATAGTATTCTTCTTTATAATGTTGGTAAAAGATTTATTAATATTTTCCAAGTTCTCATCTATTCTCAACAAATGAATATCCCGGAGCATATTAGATTTATGAAGATAGGAATATCTGTTCGGTTCAGTGTAAAGATTAGATAAATCAATTTCTATTGGACAATGGTTGCTGTTAGAAATTTTCATGTCAAGGGTTCTCCAAGTAATTATAGGTGGAATGCATTTTGCAAAAGAAACGTCAATAGCTGATTCGTAATCGTTACATATATAAGTTGAATGGCTGTCATTGATAGACGAGAAACCATAATCTGATGATATATTCTCTAAAATTTGGCCTTTGCTGTCAGTCATCTGGCAGCCCCATGTTGTAGATTTTGCGTTATAATCCCCACATATAAAGGTAGGAGTCGCTGTGTTGTTAAAATATAAAAAAATCTTCTCAATCTTAAAAACATTTCTTGACATATTCGGTGGTATATAAACGGATACTAAGTTGATGTTCTTCTTTAAATTCAATGTTGATATACCAATTACATCCATATTCGTTGAAAAGTTCAAAATTTTATACTTGATTTTCCTTTTTATGTAAATGCCTACACCTCCATAGCCGTCAGGTCGATTTTTGCAAACGAAATTATAATTAGCCATACTTGTACTTGAGTTATCTATTAGCCATGTTTCACATAGCATACAGAATGAAAAGTCATAATTATCAAGAAGTAACTCCAGTGTTTCCTTATTGCCAGGCTTTCTCAAACTCTGTATATTAAATTGTAAAATCTTCATATATGTACTTGTTATCAAAATATAAAAAGGAGGTAACACCTACGGTGTGACCTCTTTAGATCTTAAGCTGTCGATAATTTGATTCTGGAGACCTCTTAAAAATTCTTTCTGTTCAAAACTTAAGTTATAATTTTCCCATCCGGCTAAAAAGCCATCTAATTTTGAATTTATATCGGATAATACTTTATCGGATTCTGATTGAGCTGTATTGACGTTTAGTTGGCTAGCAAGTTTTTCTACACTTGAAGTTTTGTGTGTGTTATTGAAATTTGTATTGGGTTTATTATTAACATAATTAGAATCCTTGGTCAATTTTTGCCATTGTTCCATGTTCTGTCTAGAATTTTCAGCCTCTCTTTCACGGTTAGGGTTTCTGCGAACTATTGCAGAATATGGCATTATACTGTGTATGGTCTTAGCAGCTTCTTTACTATTGTTGATAATATTTGAATTGGACTTAGGAGTTAAACGGGGGAAGATATCCTCGACTTCATCATCAAGAACAGCAAAACGGTTTCCAAAAGCGCCAGAATATTTTGTTCTTGCCTCATTAATTGAGAGATTTTCCAAAGTCATAATTTTCTTTATAGTATAGGCCTTAATTCTTGCCGGACATGATTTTGAAGTAGGGTGATGATCATTTTTACAATTAGTGCACATCATTTGACCACAAGACTGAGCCTGTTCGTGTTTATTGAAACAATTTCTACAAACTTCCATCTGCTGTTTACAATGTTGCGCAAAGTGCTTAAAGCGATAACAACGGTAACATTGTGCAAAAGAAATGTAATGCTTTACTTTTATTTTAGTGTAATCGTACGAAATTTCCTTTGGTATTTCAAGGCCATCAAAAAATATCTTTACTCTGCCTGTTGGTATTTTTAATTCTCGGTCTTCAGGATCCTTTCTCTCGACTCTTATGCACTTTAATATTGGTACTTCTGAAATTATTGAAGATTGAAAATCCTCCATAGACAAATCTGTGGGTATATCAAAGATTAATCCAATCTTTGACACAAAATGTGCAAATATTTTCGGCAAGTAGCCATCTTGTTTAATACGTTTATCATAAGCAAAGTTGTTTGCCAAATTTCGTTGTTTGAAGGTCACCTTACAACGTCCATAACCTATTTTCAAAACTTCAGTTATACCTTCAACTTCATATTTTTTCAATGTTCTGTTTAGGGAGATTGCATTAATGGGTTTACGGGAACCTGAAGTATCCACCGCATCAACATAAACTATGAAAGGTCCTCGATGTTCTTCATTATATTTATTTGAGCCTTCGTCATTATTTAATTCCTTCTCTTCACGCTTTCTCTTAGAAGTGGTACTAGAGCTGCTACGGCTTCTATCACTTACAGAAAGTGAACTCCGATCTCGACTCCTCCCCTGGACTGGCGGGGGCCCAGGACCCCCAGATTCCGACATATTTTAAGGAAATGTCCTTATACGCTTTTATGTGTTTTTATATTAAAGACAAGATCGAAAAAAACGTGATGTTCAAAGATTATCAAAAACTTTTGTGGTATTTTATTAAATTGGAATTAAACGGAAAACTTGAAATTGTAGTTAACGGTTCGAAAGTCATCCAGAAAGTGTTCTTTTTATGTATTTTTTGCTTTGTTTACATTTTTTATATACGTTTCCACGTGTATACACAAAAAAGTACCTTTCTATGCAACTCTGAAAAAAGTTTGCCAAAAATCCCCTGTTTGTTTTCTTCTTGTGCGTACAAAAAACTGACAATTTTTCTGTCGACGTCAAGTGCCGTGATAAATATTTGTCTAATATAGACAAGGGTTAAAGATCGTGTGCGAAGTGTTGCCAATTCCAATAATTTAATTTTTTTAAATTTGTATGGGAACGCCGGTTTCGACTTTGTTGTGTTTATACACTTAGCCGGCTTACAGTCGATTTTAAGCCGCCGTCGATATTTTTAGTGCCAGCCGCCACCGCCGAATCGGCTTAAGTCGACTAAGCCTAGCCGCCGAACGAAATGTCAAAGCCCTCGCCGCCGAAAATTTTTCAGCTTAATACGGCTTGAAAATTTCGCCATATTTTGTACAATTTACAGAATACTTTCGCTAAATTTGTGGAATTTTACAATATAAAATTAATTTGTTTTCATTTAAGCAAGTTTTCTTTTATTTAATAATAAGCCGCTCATTGAAATTTGGCCGGTGTAGAACTTTGCTCAACGTTCGATGTATATGCTTCGCCTCAGATATTTTCGTGTTTTCGCGCCTAATTCGAGTCGCTGCTTTGACTTCAAACCAGCTTCGTTGACGTCAACGGAGCTACACCTTTTTACATTGCTGGTATGTCATACCGTAAAGGGCTAGGGTATCGAACATGTGTATTTCAAATGGGAAGTGCAGTTGATGTCAATTCTGCCGACTGCGAAAAGAAATTCTGCTAGAATTTTTCGCGCCAAACTGTTTTCTGCATTTTTTATTTGCCAAAAAAATCTGTTGTTGTGTGTGTGTGCGAAAATCTAAAATGACAGAAATGATATCCTTTAAATAAAAAAATAATTTTTTACTAAAAATTTAAATTAATAAGATTGTATGCTATACTACTATACCGAGGGTCATTGTACAAAGAAACAGCAAGTGTTGGGTTGAATTTAGTTAAATTGTTAATAATTATATGGGTTTGTTTTCGTTTAATACCCAAAAGTGTTTATCGAAATCTATATTTGACATATTTGTGAGATCTAGAAGATTAAAAAATGTATGTAATGGTGTTAATTAATTATTTATTTGTCTATAATGAACGTCTTTCTTTTCAAGAAAGAGGAGGCATCATGATGGTCTCCTGGAAGAATGCCCACAAGAGATTGGCAATTGTATACCTCCCTAGTAGCCTAGGTGGGTGGTGGTCGGTCGGCTAGTGGTGACATGGTATATTATCACCTAGAGGCAATGGAAGGAAGCTGATTGCCGTATTCAGGGGGTATCCTTGAGATACATACTTATTATTATACCATTGATCCTAGCAGAATCACTACCATACACCCATAATAGAGCGCGATGTCTGTCAGGTGTGCGTTTCAGTGCAGCTCTTGTTGTCTCCAAACACTATGGTGGCCGAATATTTACAAGAAACAATTGTTAAGCCGTCTTTTATACAAATTTATAGCTTTGTAGAGAATGTCTTCACGGACCTAGAGCATAGAACCTGGGTAGATATGTAAATGTTGTTTGGGCAAAATATTGGTACTAACCATTGTGGGCTTTAAGTCGACTTTAGATCCCTTATAGTTGTCACACTATACCAAATAAGCATTCTTGCTGGAATTAAAGTTTAAAACATGTTTAATTCCAGTCAAACATTCAAATTTCAAGTGTTGAAATTCACTTTCATTACACTTTAATTCAATAGAATTCTCCAGTGAAAACGAAACTTGAATTCAAGTCGAACATTAGAATCTTTTTACAGTATAATTCAATGCACGAAATCTATATACATATGTACATACATACGTACATATATAAAATTCTAACGTTACTGACTGACTGATTCATCATTGCACAGCCTAAACGGTTTTAGCTAAAGAGCTGAAATTTGGACAGGAGGTTGGTCTCCCACCAAATAGATTCACTAAGACGGGATTTTTGGAAATTCGAATGATTAGGGGGTTAAAAATGGTAAAAACGGGTAAATTCGGTAACCTCATATCTCCTAAACTATAAAAGATACAAAAACAGTTTAAAGCTTATCGTCATTCATTTAAAAAATAAGCGGACAGGTGTCTGGTACTTTTTTCAAATTCGGCTCCTTTGGGGAATAAACGGGTAGAAACTGTAATTTGGTACTTCTTTTGCACCCCATGTATCTTTTAAACCAGAGAACATTCAACAAATATTTTTGAATCCTTCATAACTTGACGAACAAATAAAAATATGAATTTAGTACTTTTTGGATATTCGGACGTTTAAGGGGTGAAAATTGTACCTATTTTTGGTACTTTTTTATAAAACATTGTTTTTGGTTTATTAACTTATACATATGAATACAAAATAACGGGCTCCCAATACGATGTTGCAACTGGTACTTTTTTGACTTAGAACTTAGAAACATGTAATTAAGCACTTGAGAATCTATAAAAGTGGACTTTTTGGTACTTTTTCGTTCTTCAAAAGGTACTTTTTGAATTTTCTATTAAATTGAACATAGAAACATGAAATTATGCACGTATAGCCTGGAGTAAATGAGAATCTATAAAATGGCCCTATTTGGTACTTTTTCGTTCTTTGACTGGTACTTTTTGAGCTTGCTACAAAATTTGAACCTCGAAACATGAAATTAAACACTTAGAGCCTGGAGTAAATGAGAATCTATAAAATGGGAACTTTATCGTACTTCGACTGGTACTTTTTGAGTTTTCCATAAAATTAAACCTAGAAACATGAAAATAAATATGTAGAGCCCGGAGTAAATTATAATCTATAAAAAGGGACTTTTTAGTACTTTTTCGTTCTTTGACTGGTACTTTTTGAATTTTTTATATTATTGAACCTAGAAAAATGAAATTAAGAATGTACAGCCCGGATTAAGTGATAACATTTAAAAGCGGACTTTTTGGTACTTTTTCGTTCTTCGACTGGTACTTTTTGAATTTTTTATAATAGCCCGGATTAAGTGATAACATATAAAAGGGGACTTTTTGGAACTTTTTCGTCCTTCAACTGGTTCTATTTGAATTTTCTATTATAATGAACCTAAAAACATAAAACTAAGCAATCAGGGACTCGAGTGAATGAAAATTTAAACTGGAGTATTTCTGGTAATTTTTCGTTCTTTAACTGGTACTTTTTGAATTTTCTAAAATATTGAATATATAAACATAAAATTAAACACGCAGTATCCTAATTGAACGAAAATTTATCTCGCTTACGTCCATTTTGCAAAAAGGGCTCGATATCAATCGCAATCTCTATAGGCCATAATTGACCCTGCCCCCTTCATTAATTGATTTTAACATTTTTTACGTACTTAATAATACCATAATAAAACAATTTTTGTTAGAACGAAAATATGTAATGCAAATATGTATATGAAATCTTCTTGAGAAAATGACTTAAACGCACATAAATGGATTTCAAATGTCGATGTCGACGAAAAAAACATTTTTAGGAACCGAAACCTACATTTATGAAAAATAAAGTTATGAGGATCGGTCCGCCAATATAACCCTCTTACAGAAAATCAGTTTATAGCTAATACATCATTCCAAAAGTTATCATTATGATAGAATTATGGTAGAATTAAAAAAAATACTTTAAATCATACCCAATAAGCATTTTTGCTGGAATTAAAGTGTAAATCAAATTTAATTCCAGTCAAACATTCAATTTTCAAGGGTTGAAATATTATTATTGATCCAATTCCACATTTAAGTCCCTAATCCGAAAATCACGGTGACGTTGTTATTAATCTAATGATCTTATTAATCTAATGATCGGACACTTCCGAAATTTGCTTTTTAACGACATATGATTTGCCGAATATAACTCGTACTTCTTATTTAACTTAATCATAAATTACCGCTAAAATAGGAATAGTCTGCCTTTAGAGTTGCGAGTTTTCATACATTCTAATAATGTTTTCAAAGTGAAACTTTCGGAATATTTTTCAATCTCTTTGTGATCCCTTTAAATGATGTTGTTCTGGAAGAACTTTAACATCCATGTAAACATTTTGGGTAATAAATTGGGGGACTACCAATGAGGGGAGCGGAACCTCCCATATGAATTAAATACAAAAATTCGTTTATCTGGGAAACTAATAGAACTAAATTCTTTAAAATTTTGCACGAAGAACTTTAATATTCATCTGAACATTTTGGAGAAAAAAGGGAGGACTTTCATCTGGGGGGCTTGGAGCTCCCATATGAATTAAATAGAAAAATTCGTATATCTGAGAAACTATTAGAGCTAGAATTTCAATTTTTACTGAAGAACATTTAGAGAATAACGGGCGGACTTTCAATGGGGGGCTTGGCACTTCCCATATGAATTAAATACAAAATTTTGTATATCTGGGAAACTATTAGATTATTCGAAATTGCAATAATTTGCGTGGAATCTCCCATATGTAACAAATTGTATATCTGGAAAACCATAGTAGTTAGAATCATCAAAGTCGTTAAGTGGGTTTCTTATTTATATTGCTTTTAGGGTAGCACAGCACACTGGGTATAGCTTGTAAATAAACAAATAAAATATCTTTGTTTTTACGTTATTGATCATTTTCTTAATGCAAAATTTTTTAGAAACTGATTTTCTGCAAGATGTTTTATATGGAAGATAGGCTTAAATATCGGCAGATCCTAGTAAAACTTGGAGAAAGGATTTGTTTTTAATTTTTAAGAATTTTTTATTCATCCCTGCATAATTTCTCACACAACTTTTGAGCTTGCTCTGTTTTGTTGTTATAAACAATATATTTGCTTCCAAAATCCCACTTTCTGATCTCTCGGATTCCGTTTTTATTTAAAATCGTTGAAAAATTAAAAACTAAACGTAGTTGAAAACTTAGCCGGCTTACAGTCGATTTTAAGCCGCCGCCGACATATTTAGTGTCAGTCGCCGCCGCCGTTAATATTTGTCGGCGCAGGGCTCTGGTTGGATTTTCATCTATTCTGTCGTGTTTGGTTTATTTTCTTTTTATAATTTATTGAATAGAACGGTATACGGAATAAAATTAACAAAACTTAAAAAATAAATTGCATTTAATTGGAATACAATTTAAACATATTTACAAAACGCATACAAGAAGCGAATCCTAACAAAAATATCACTAATATAAATGGACTCTGTGAAAAACTACAATGAAGTGATGTTTGACGATATTGATGGTGCAAAGTATATTTTAAATTAAATTTTAACAAAACAATTTGTGTTGGCGTTTCTACCTAACAAAAACGAAAATAAAGAAAACAACAACGTAATAATAGAAGTAAATAATATAACTAGAATTTGTTCGTTTGTTATCTTATGTAGTGATAAAAGTGGAATACGAATAAAAAAACATGAAATGAAAAAGAAAAAGTGTAATAAATTGGAAATGATTTTTAATATTTAGTGTTTTAACGTCACATAAGTACCTACATACATACACACATTAGTACTTCTTCTTCTAAATAAGAATTATAATTAAAATTGATAAATTACAAAAGAAAAATTCAAGTCTATTTTTATCCTCAAAGATGAACAAATTATGTGTGTGTAATTAATATTTTTTACCGAAAATATAAAAGAATACACTTTTCAATGTTTGCTGCTGCTGGTGTTTGCTTATTGGGTGCCTTGACACTTGATATCCACCGCAAGTGAATTAATTCTGGCGGCGGTTGTGCAGTGTGCAAGCAGTTCATAGTGAACATTTTAATATTCAACGTCACTGCACCGACAACAAGAAATTTATACAAAAAAAAGGAATACTAATACATTAACTATAATAACAAGGAATTTAGCCAGAAATGATGAAGTCGTCGGGGTAAGTGATGTTATAATATTAATTGCATTCATTGAATAGTAAATCTGAAAGGTTAAATAATATACAATAGTAGTATCTTATATGCATATATACAAATGAAGTGAAGTTGTTTACTAATATAGTGAATCTTGTTTATACCCGCATTTATGTTTCCCCTTTTAAAACATAAAATCTTTAGTTAATTGGGGGTGTTGTTGTTTTTGTTTTCATATTAGGACGTGAGTGGAAATACACAATGATAAAAAACTGGTTTTCTTCATCAATTCTCTGTTTTTTACCTTTTAATTCATTTGCCTTTTTATCTTTACTACAAATTTCAAACAATGTTGCTGACATGGAAAAAAATACTAAAATAAAATTTTGCTTAAGTTATTTGCATTTACGTTAGTGGGTTTTCCGGTATTAATCGGGTTTATAGGTCCAGGATCTCCGACTTGTATAAAAAAACCAGGTTAATTTTGCCTTATAAGAGCGATATATAAGAGTGTTCTCAAACACACAGATTTGTGTCCTTGGTAGGTTAGTGTTCAAGACTGTCAGATCTGGGGTCATGGACTTGATTTCCATTAGAGTCACTGGTAAAGAAGGGCACAAAAGGCCCCTTAAAGTCATATGTGTATTTCTTGGGATTTGATGTAATAAATATCTTTCTTTCAAACTAACTAATTAGGTAGGTATATACTTATGTTATTTAGAATATCAATCATAAAATATTATAAGTTAGAAGTATTCTTATGTAAGGATTTGGTGAAAAAACGAAAACTTGTTATATCAAAGAATATACATAAATCATATAGAATGTGCCTCTTAAACAAGTACATTTTTCAATAGAGGTTTGTAACATATAAATAATACATATGTACGTGTAAAGTCGGTGTGGCTAAGTTGACAATCCTGATCTTCGTCTGTATGGGAGCGACATCCAAGAACACCTGGATAACATAGATGATGAATGCTCATACAAAACAGCTTTGAATAATCCATCAATTATTACTGGGAGTCTCCCACCCATTGCAAATGGAGAACGAAACTTACCACGTCGCACTAGAGTGGTATTGGCACACCTAAGATCGAGATGGTGTACCCGTTAAATTCGTACTGGTCGAGAATAAACGATACTATTCAAGATATCGGTCCTGCATGTGGCACAGGCCCATACGATGTTCAACATCTTTTTAACTGCAGGGCAAATCCAACTCAGCTGGAACCTGAATCCATTTGGACTCAGCCAAAAGATGCGACTCGTCTACTGGGTTTATATCAATCTGACTTTGATAACCAGAGCGAAAAAGAAGAAGAGAAGGAAATAATTTAACTATATACATATTCGTGTAATTTCAGGTATCGCTGCTACAACAACAACACACAAATAATACATGTAAATCATAAACAGCTCGCGTCGAAATGCACATTCTATATAATATATATTCTTTGGATTGTAAGGCGATATTCGAATACTAACTAATGTTAGAAATTTGTGGAGTATTATTCAAGAATACAGAAAAGTGCTTTAATGTAAATCAGCGATTAGGATTTCCTAAGAGTTATCAAAAATGAACAGAGCACTACAAATAATAATAATAAGCAGTCAGATCCTCAAACGGCCGCAAAGCTTATTTCAAAGTTATATGTTTTCCCAATCTTTATTACTATTAAATACCTATACAAACTTAGATTAGTAAATACCGAGTACATATATTTTTAATTACCATTTACTTATAAATATAATTTTAAACGCAGGATTTGAATATTTCAGAATAATCTATTGTTCACAAGTTCGAGAATCTTGTTTATGAAAATGAAAGGTTATTCAATGTCTTTTCCAATTTTCCAAAGTCATACCTCTAATGCACAAACATATCGCTCATGCACAACAAGACTGGCAAATCCAGAATTCGTGTTTTTTGAACTGATGTCTATAAAACAGGCGTCATACTACAGTTTTTCATACAGATTTATCAAATTATGAAAATCGCCCACAAATTGTTGAGATATGACCCCATGTCTAGATTTTTAAATCTTTCTTATGCTAAACGTCAAATTGTTATCATGATAAAAAATTATCAGCTATAGTCACCATTTATTAACGTTGTAGCACGTCAGTACAATTGTTTAGACAATTTATTATAAATTTCCCGGGTCGGTACAATTGTTTAGACAATTGTACTGACATTTAAAAATCAAATATTATTTTTAGCACGTTCTAATGATACAGAAATTATAAAAAAAAATACATTGTGTATTTAAAAAGTTGCACGTTATCATATATCGAAAAATATTATAAATTTCCCGGGAATTCCCGGGAATGAAAATTTTTATAAATCAATTCCCGGGATTGAAAAAAATCCCGGGAAGTTAGAAACTCTAGTATTAATATATACATATGCCTTGCACTACACTTGATAGATATTTTAATTATAGGAATATTTCTTATTTACAATAAATAATATTCCAAATAAATGTCGGCAAGAAAAAAATTCAATTAAAAAAATAACAGTTATAATAGAACACCCTGTTATACCTATACATCCACATACATATTTTCGTTTTCAAATACGTATTTTTGCTTTTTTCTCTTCCAAGAAGACTTTAGTAAATCTTACAAATGATAGTGATGTTGATAGTGTTTTTGTTGTTGTTGTTTTTGTATCTTTTCGCTTTATTTTATTTTCTGTTATTTATTTTTGTTTTAACACATTTTGTGCGTATATTTTGGTTTGGTTTGACCTCAGTTTCATTTCATTTTTTTGTTTTGTTTATCTTTTCCTTTTTTTCTACCTTTAAAGTAAATTAAATTGATCGTCTATCCGACTGTCAGTCATTTGTTTATCTGTCACCTTAAAAGCTTCTTAAGTGCCTTTTTGCATTAAAATATTTTCGTTGGTTGATTTGGTTGGTTGGTGACTGAGAGTAAATAAGTATTTGTTTTTATGATCACAAAGTAACTCTTGAGCAAACCAAATAAAATTAGTAATAAAAACAAAATTAATAACAATAAATGCTACTAAAAGCAGAAATCTATTAAATTGTTAATTTTAGTTAAGAAATTAATTCTGGGAAATATTATTTAATTTTTGTTAGTCTGTATCTTTGTTTGCTAAAATATATATATACATATCTGTTTTAAAATACTATAATATAATACTATTTATTTAAAATAATTAATTATTCATTTTTGTATTTTTATTTATTTTTTTGTTTTTTAATTTTTTTCGTGGAATTGTTTTTTTGGGCAACTTATCAGATATAATTTATTGTTATACATATTTTTTCAAATTCCAAAAACAAAATTTTTTAAAATTGATTAAATTTACGATTGATGACGTTGTTTGTTAAATGCCTTTGAATTTGTACTTTGTTTTTAACCATTATGTTTTTTTTTATTATTCCAATGAAAACAGCTGAAGACAATTTTATACTAAAATAAATAATTCTTTAAATTTTTATTAAAAATTAAAATAAGTGTTTTTAAAATTGTATCTATTTTATTGGTTGTTTTTAACTGTGCTCTAATATTGCAGGCATTTTTCTTTTGAATAATTGTACAATATCTATTTAACAACAATTTCATATTGAATCTTTCGTTCAACACGTTTCGGCAGCTGATTTCAATTTAAACAAATTTGATTTGTTTACTTGTTTGTTTTATTATTTATTTACGTTGGCTATTTTTGTTCAACTAATTAGAACTGCGGCATTAAAAGCAAATATTGTAGATACTCGTACATACTAGTAAATTTGTATACACAGTGAATGTACATAGTACAAGTGTATGTATAATACAATTCAATACATACAAGATTTACCTACTAAATATTGTACAACTGCTACCTACCTTTCTACCTTTTGAAGACAGCATTTATAGACAGCATGTGCATTTAAGAAATATAAATACTTCTAACAACAAATATCAGAAAAGAACTAACAATAATTGTTGCGATTATAATTGTGTTTTATGAGGAAAAACCTCAGTTTAGAGCATTTCAAAAACTCAGTCAGTGTTTCTATTTTCATGGTTTTCATTCTAAAATTAAAGAGATTTATTTTTAAGAAATACATAAAGCATAGAGAAATTATTGGACGGGCATTTCGTAATATCTGTCCGTACAAATTGTGATACGAATTTCCTGTTGTTTTTTTGTTATTTATTCAACTCTTGTTAATCGATTATAAATGCTCAAAGTATAAAATACAATTTTTACCTGTAAATTTCACGCCCTTAGTTGACTAATTACTTTACTTCCGTTTAAATGCAGCCAAAATGCACAAAAACAAATTTTAAGTCCTGTCATCTTAAAAAGGAATTTACCTTCTGTGCCGTTGTTCCCTTGAACAGTGGATGTATATTAAATATAATTAAATCTATATAAATTCCTGTAATGCTTTTGTTTTAAAAATAAGCCTAATTTTTCCAATTCATGATTATAGACTGCGACAGTAGCAAACCTTTGACTTTTTTGAAAAATACCTTTGTTAATAAGTTTATTTTTTTGTACAATCATTTGGAAAAAACCCGGGTATTTACCTATTTTAAAAAATGTTTCCTCTTTATCAATTAGAGCTAACAATTGCTGTAGCTATTTCAACGAGAAGCATCCATAAATTCATTAAAAACTGAAGTAGGATTGGCAGAGCACTTGTATATGTGGTGGGTGTCATGGGGACCACAATCTATTCAATCGCATTAAGGATGTTGCTCCATCATAATCTCAGTTTTGCGAGAACTACTCATGTTTTCCGCGGCAAGTTTCCTTAGATATTTATAGACTGTGAGTGACCTCCAATGACGATATTCAGGGGGTGTATATGTGGTGGGTGTCATGGGGACCACAATCTATTCAATCGCATTAAGGATGTTGCTCCATCATAATCTCAGTTTTGCGAGAACTACTCATGTTTTCCGCGGCAAGTTTCCTTAGATGTTTATAGACTGTGAGTGACCTCCAATGACGATATTCATGGGGTGTACTGCGACAGCGGTATTGATAGCGGCATTTTGAATATCGTTCTAAGCTGCGTGGATCGTATACGTGGATCGATCCAACTACGTATATTTTTCTCCTATATATTAATATCCTTATATGGCTCGGGGGCATCCAAGTGTGTGAAGTTAAATTTGGGATGACTCCTCCGGTGACATCCTAAGAGGGAATATTTAGTTACGTTGTGGGTATCACTAAGCGAAGTTGACAACAATGGTACAGTGTAATAAAACGGCAGAAAAAGTTATATGAATTGATAGTATCGAAAAATCTCTACAAATTCGAAGGTTTTATATTCTTATTATACATACATACTTAAATATACATATAGGGGTATTATTAGTTTTTATTATTTTCTAATAATATATATTTTTTTATTTTTAGTTCATCAATATGGCTGCTAATATCGATCGTTGTCATAAATTCATTACAATGCATTCATTGTGGTACATCTCCCGGTGGTAAGTGTTAAATAAAAGAAAAAACTTCCATATGCCAGTTATTTAGTCAAATATTTGACAATAGATTAGAGTGGAGTACAAAAATATACATTATACATATTAATATACTATTTATATTAAAATTTTTGTATTATGAATAAAAAAAATCACAAACGAATGTTGATTCGCATAAACAAATATGTGTGCATTAGGTTGGCCCCCCAAACTTAAGCTACAACTTTTCGGAATAAAATCACTTTCAATTTTAAAGTGGAAATGCGTATGAAATTATAATTTTTAATAGATATTTAAAAATAGTTTCGATCGGAATGGAATTCTGTGACAATTCCAAATTTTTCGTTTTTTACTTTGAGTTTTTTGAATTTTAACCAAATTATCTTGAATCGTAAACTTTTGTGACAATTTACTACAAATTCGGGCCACTCTAATCTACATAGTAGAAATGGGAAAATCGTAGAAACAAAAAATAATAATAACATTTTTGTTTACTTGCGGTTTTTAACACCTTTGTAGGCAGAGTACTTCTTCAATGTACGTACGGTTATTGGACAATGTACTCAATCTCATAATACCATAACGAACATGCATACTGATATAATGTCTCACTCGCTGACTGGCTGACTAAATAACTGGCAGTTTGTTTGCTTAAAACTTTATTTGTTTTTATTTATTTGCACAATGATTTAAATTTTCTTAAATTGTATATTCCTATATGGAATATTGTTTGCTATTTATTAATAACATATACATATCTTTCCCCTGTTTTGTATCTCTAGAAACTTTACCAGATCGTCTTGAAATTGAAATCAACAGCAGTGCTAATATAACATGTCGCATAAACCCATCGAAGTTTGGCGGTAACGTCAATAGCTCTTCTTTGTATTTTGAACAAGAAGATACGAAATATATAGTGCCCAATGATAATATACATGTAAGTTAAACGTACATATACTTGTATGTATATTTATATCAAACCTCTTTTTTATAATTAAACTGATAAGATTAAATAAAGTTATGTATAAATATTTAATGAATCAAATTGAAATCATTGAAAATATTACAAAAAAGTAACCGTTGAACCTAGCGTTTATGTTCGATTATACAGCCAGAACTGTATTATCCGGAAATTTTTTATATCCAGGAAAGAACTTTACGCTAGAGTAGAATTATTATATTATCTATGAAGGTATGTTCACACCCCTCAAATATTTGATGAAAGAGACGTAACCACTATTTTTTGTTCGGAAACTAAAAAAGCCATTCAATATTTGTACAAATTCGATAACTTTAGTAAAGAGAAAACTGTGTAAAAAAATTACGCTGAGATATTGGTCCTAAGTCCTAAAATTAGAGATGTAACATACATATACTTATAGTTTCCGACGTTGACAATTTCGAACAAATTTAAGAAATGGTTCTACTATAGCTCTTCTATAGAAGGGATGTCAACTCTTAATATATTCCACAGAGCGTTGTACGAAGGCAACATTTTGGAATAAACATCATTGGTCATAACGCCACACTAAAACAAACGAAGGTGAAATGCATGCTTTCTAAAACTAGTTGTGAAACAAATAACATTTTTTCCACTGAAATTAAATAAAAGCTCGTAAATGCGACCAAAAGAAAAACTAACTCTAGTTATATTGTTTAAATTTTAAATATTTGTTTATTTTTTAGATTTTAAATGACACAACAATTGTCTTTATGTTACGAAATGCCACGGAACAAGATCGCTATTATATATGCAAAATTGGCACGAAGGGCATTGGTATTACGCATGTATCAGTTGGTAAGTTTATATGTTTGTTTATTTTCTTTGTAACTTTTCTCAACTAGAAAGTAATAAATTATGTCATCATTTAATTATTCATGTCTATTTTGTTTATCCTTTTTTTAAACCTAACATTCGCATACACACACTTATAAAGTCTTCTAAAAATATAAACAGTGACTAGCAAATTTAAATTAAAAAATCGTAATTTAATACAAAATTGAAATTAAAATTTCAGTTATAATTGGTCAAGATCTCTCTAATTTGAAGATAAAGTTCTTAAAAATTGATTTTTTTTGATAATGATAGTAGCTGTATGCTTTGTAGAAGTACTTAATACTTTATAGAGTATTTTATAATTAATTTTTATTAAATTTACTAACAAGGCATTTATGGTACATTAAACGTTTTGTTTTCATTATTCTACTTAACTTTTAGGTACTGCACCTCTAGATATAACGGATTTCAAATGTCGTGGCTACGATTATACGTATATGGTGTGCAATTTTACCAAGCCACATAATGTATTACTAACACATTACAATTTAAGTTATACGGCACAATCACCGGTAAGTCTACATACATTTACATTGTATATTCTTATCTACAAAACATATGCATACATTGTGTATACATATGAATGTATGTATGTTTTTATGTATGAAGAATATATTACATATTTTATATACATTTGGTATGAAATGGTCGTTGCTCCTTGGGGAGTTAAAGGATACTTATTTGTTAGTAGTATAATTAGTTCAAGTTTGGTAGTTTATTAATTCATTCATTTTTGTTTTATTTGTTTAACAAAACGGTAGAATTCTAACTGGTTATATTTTCTCTAAACTAATAACACTCTGCAGCAATTAATCAAATATTAACATATAAAAATAAACAATTTATGAATATATAATACACATTTCCAAGTTTGCCTAGTAGTAGTAGTGGGCCCATTAATTTATTATATATATTTTCTTTCTATCACTCTTTCTCTATTTTTCTTTGGTTGTTTTTTGCACTCCTCATATCACACACAATTAATTTCTTTAATAATAATGGAAGTAGTAAACTAAACTAGAATAATAAAACGGGGTGTATTTCAATTGTTTACATGTTATTTTTTTATACATACATATATACGATTGAATGAATTAAACGAGAATGTGTATAGATATACAATACTGTATATCGTCAGCTAGAATTATTAAGGGAGAATGTCAATGACAGTTGAAATATGCTTTAAACTTGTAAATTTGTTCAAAGTATAGAAAATTTTATTTTCAATCTAAATTTGAAATGCTGTCACACTGTTGGATTTTTGCAAGTGTAGAAAATTTTAATTCAGAAACTTTTTTTAAATACTTTTAATACTTTGAAATTAAAATTTTATATTTTATACTGAAAATAGTAAAAATTGAGTGGTTTTGTTATTTTCCGTTTTCAATGACGTTAGTCTGACTATACAAGTATTCATATATCAAGCATAAAGTCTAATTACATGTGCATTTATTTTAGCTATTGAAACTTTTTCACATTCTGGGCAAAGAATATTTAAAAAAATACTTTTTTACTTCCTGCACAAATTTTAATCTAAAGAACAAATATATTAATCATTTAATATTTAGGCATTTTGGTTATTTCATTTGAATAAGAAAGACGTCAATTAAAGATTTTTAGCTACATTTAGGTAAATAATAATCCTTATTTTTGAAATAATAGCACGTTAAATGTAATTATAGGATTTTTGTTTTTTTCTAAACGTGTTGTTTTACAATTTTTTAATTCCGTTATTAATACTAATTTTTTCACAAAAATTTGAAATTTTAATACACATTTTTAACACAAATTTTACAAAATGTTTGCAATCAAATTGTTTTGCTTTGTTGTTATCGCTTTTAATGATTTTCGGAAAACAATAAAATTAAGTGACTTGTTGAATTTATTGTAATTCTTTTTTTTTGTTGATAAAGTTGAAATAAATAATAATAAAGTATTTCAATTTCATAGAATTTTAATAAAACGAATCTTTCTAGTTATGGAATAAAGCTATTATACTTGTAGTTCAATTGCTCCTACACATAATATTAAACAATTTCATTAGAATTGATAATTTTGGACAGTAATCTATATACATTTATAAATTTATTACAATTGACATATTTATATAAAAACAAATTTAGATAAACATGAACAAAATACAAAACATACAAAACGAATTTACGTCACCCTTTAGAAGAGTAAGAGAAATAAAATTTAATTTGCTAGTTGAATGAATTTTTGAAAACATTTAACAAATAAAGAGAGGCATTTGGCCGACATATAGAAAAGCAATAAAAATTTTTCTCAAAAAAATTTGATATTAATTCTTTATGTAAAACAACAAAAGACTGCAGGTCAACTATCAAGTCTTTTGAAACTAGTAAATATGATCGACTGATTCTGGATAGGTCTTAAGTTATGTTAAAAGAGAAATGTTATTATTAGTCCAATTTACAATCGGTGTCGTAGCATTATATTGATGTATGTTATATTTTGTTAAAAGTACAAAATTACGACATACCACGATTCAATATTACGTCGCCGGTTTTGAATTGTACAATACTTTCTAATCTAGGTTAAACCAAAGTAAAAAGTAGCATCGTTTCTAATCTGCCTAAATTTTGTTGTTATAGTCCGTATGTTAAACTAGGTTTTGAACTTAAAAAAATGAGCTAGGTATTTAAATGAAGTGAATTATATGAAATATTTTAAAGAAATTGCAATATTTATGTCACCGATATGTAATTTTAATTAAATTTTCTATTTACACATTTGGAGCCCTAACTGCGAAAACAATTTTAAACAAAAATAAATTCAATTTTATGTAAAACGATTTTCAAATAAATTATCTTAAGAATTTAGCATTAAAAATAAAGACAAAATTGCTTATCTTTATAATTATATACTTAAGTTATTTTCGCTGTAAGGGCTTGAATTAATAAATTTATATATTTAATTAACTCTTAAATTGTAGTAGTAGTAGTAGTGTTATGTTTTAATTTATTTTTAAAGTTATTAACTAATAAATATTTTTTCTTTTTTTATTTACATATTTTTTGGGACTTTTGTGCATGTTAATTAATCTTTACAAATTTCTTACTCACATAACAACTATCTTTCCAACAACATCACCAACCTTCTTTTTTTAATTGATTAACTAATATACTCATTAATACTTTACTATATGTTCTTAATTTGTAAACTAACCAAACAACGTTTTGACATGGTGCTAATTACTAATTTAATCAAAACAATAACAATAACATTTAACACAAATAATTTGCACTGCACTGCATTGCAATTTATATTTAATTCTTTATTTTTAATTTACGATTTAAAAATTTAATGTATTCAAATGTTTTTTTTTAACAACGTGTGTACACTTTTCAATCTTTTTTTAATAATTAACAAAACTAACACACTATTGCTTGTCGCACGTGCCACATTATTTCTCTATTTGTAACTTTTATTTCAATTTTAATATTTGTGTACACTCGCTCATTCACTTGCTTACACGCATTCCTAAAAAACATACAAACAAACCAAAGTAGTTTCGTACATTTATAAGGGACAAGAACGGAAAACGTCTTTACCGTACAATTTATTCACAGAATTACATACAAACATGTCACCTGGAAATGCAACAAAATCAAGGCATCTGCAATTTGACCATGGATAAAAATAACTATCGGCCAAATTATGAATTTTACAATTTCACATTGAAAGGCCAGAATGAAGTGGGAGTTAATGTGCAAAGTTTTTGGATAAATCATTATGAAAGTGGTAAGTAAAGGTTCATATATTTTCGGTTGGACATTTTAAAGGATAATTACTGAGAACTCAAATTTTTGTGGAATGATTTATAACAATATTACAATAATACAATAACGTTCATCTGAGCGTTATTTACATAAAAAAGTATTTTATTAGAACATTTTCAAAACATCGAAATTGTCTGAATCCTACTCTAGTTATAATTGCTTTAGATGTTTTATCTAAAGCAAAAAAAAAAAAAAAAAAAAAAAAAACTTTTGCAAAATTTTATGATTTTTGTAAGAGTTATGTTTGTGATAGCACATCTTCCGGATTTGCACAACGACTTTGCTGAAAACATACGTCGAATTTTTCTATGAACATTTTGCAGCGAGGTTCTAACAAATAATGGATTTGAGAATAGTACTAGGAAAGTTGTTTCCACTTTTGTAAACTTATCGGTCGATTTATGTACCATTTTCATCAATATAATCTTTAATACACACATCACAGTACATATTTTCAGAATCCGTTTATTACATTCCTTAATATCGCTGTTCCAGCGTAAAAACGAAAATTAAACTATTTATATTCTGGACGAGTAACTTTCAATTAATACTGATTATAAATTTCTAACACGATTCCACTTAGTAGATTGATTGATTTAATTTTTATTACTTTTTTAACAACAAAATTCCAGTCATTCCACCGCGGCCTGAATATACCATTGAAAAGATCACAAACAATATGATAATCATAAAATGGAACAATCCCAAATATAGTTTTTATACCCCCAAAGGTTTGGATTATGAGATACTTTTTAAGGCCGAAGGTGCCCATTGGGCGAATCCTTTAAATTATGAAATTCGCAATAATCGATCAGAGTACAAGGTTATTGTACGTAATTTACCATATGCCTACTTTTGGTATGAACTCAGTGTTCGTATACGTGTTAAGAAATCTGCCCGTAATGATGACAGCTATTGGAGTGAGCCGTACGTACAAAAATTCCAAACATTACCCTGTCCACCCGATACAGCACCAATTACAGATGTGGGCAGCTTTTATATAGATTCCAGTGAAACAAAAGTGCGACTTTATTGGCATCAATTACCGTACTATAAGTATAATGGACCGGACTTTAAATATGTCATTAAGGAAGTTAAACGCGATGGAGTTAGTGTGTAAGTATCTTAAGAAATAGACAAAACTTCTAAAATTCATTAGGATATGTATTTCTAAAAACTAATTTAATTCCTTAAATATTTACAGATCTTTGAAACCTTTACACATTGATCTTACTTCGGCCACATTTCCCTGGCATAAACGTCATAACTATACTTTTGTTATAAAAAGTAGTAATGCCGAGGGAGAATCGCCCAACAATAGTACCATTGTGATACCGGCCCGGTCAAAGCACCATGAACGTTCTTTTTCCCCGCAATGGATAAGAAATGTTTATCACGCTACAAATCGTACCTCAACGCTCTCTTGGAGTCCTCCACATAACCAAAAACATTTGACTGATTACACTGTCTTCTGGTGTCAATCGAAACTCGCTAATACCAATGAATGTGAAGTAAGTTTTGCCACAAGTGCCCTTGAATCTTATTTCAATTAAATAAATTATTCAAAATTTGTTTTAGGGAACAATTTTCTTTGAACATGTTAGCAAGGAATCAACACAGTACTATACCTCCCCACAAAAGCAAGAAGAAGTTCAATACAATTTGGCTGTGTCGGCAAATTATCGAGACTTTAATACAGGCATGCACTGGACAATGTGTTCGGCAGATGTTACTAGTGAACTGGTAAAATTGGAACCCGAAATAATCGATGTTAAGAGCCGTTCCATAACAGTACAATGGAGCACAGATCGTGTATGTTCGTCCCTTGTAGAAGGCTTCAATTTAATTTATTGTCGTATCCAACGTCCATCTACAAATCATATATTCAAAAGAGAAGATAATTCAAATCACAACTGTCTTGAAGAACCAACAAAATTGACAATTGAAAATACAGCGAAAAGATATACCATGCAAAACTTGAAGCCCTATTCATCCTACAAGATACAAATGAACATGTTTTCCAAACTTACACCGGGTAACTTAAGTGATGCCCAGATTATATACACTCATGAAGATGGTAAGTAGTACTTGATACTCCATAATAATTGTTGTTAAATTTAAATGGAATGTTTTCTTGCATAGCCCCTTCAAAACCGCACAATTTGAGAGCATACAATGTAACAAGTAATTCGGTAGTATTAACCTGGTCGGAGCCTAAGTATCGCAATGGTTTATTAACAAAATATAGAATAGCGTAAGTACTCAATATTTTTGTTTAGTTATTTACCACAATTAATTCAATTCATATCTGTATCTTCTTTTAGTTATAACAATGAGTATCACAACATTAATTGTCAAACGAATGAAGAACAATGTGCTTCAAAGCAAGTGGAATACAAATTAGAAAATCTGAGCAGTTATACCACTTATAAAATCTATATAACAGCATACACATCTGCAACTGCAGCCTCAAATCATAGTAACGATATAACAGTTACTACACTTGTAGGAAGTAAGTGCCAATAAAGACAAAATAGATTACTTTATACTATAAAAATATTTGTTTTTTGCTTTGCAGTTCCCTCTAACCCACGCAACGTCAAGAGAAAAGATAATGATCGAAACATATTGCAATGGTCTAGACCGGAGGTGCCTTCAGGCCGTGTTGAATTTTATGAAGTCGCCATAACTTATTGGTATAAGGATCAGATACAAAGACAACATATATCGCTGTTAATGGATACGAATGAGTGTGAATACCATTTGCCAGCATGTATAGATGGTGATTATCGGTTCACTAAAGAAGTACGTGCTGTGAATGTGGTACCATACACTGAAATTGATCATAACATATTTGCAACGAAAAATGCAACAAACGATGATGTCAAGGATTTATATACCCAAAACATGGACATGAGATGTGTGGGCAAGGAATTAAGTGCAGAACAATTGGCCAAAATCCATGAATATCAAGATAAACATAAATATGTCCAGTACAAATCTGTATGGGAGAAGGGTCCAGCTACCAACTGTTCCGATCCCGAATTAAGTCGTATTACAATGTTGGCTTTGTTAATTGTAGTTTCATCACTAGGAGTCATGGCCGCCTTTTATGTGGCACGTAACAAGTATCAGAAAATGGCAAATATTTCGTGTGCTTTACCACCGGGTCTGGAAGAATATCCGATTAAAGATAATGGTGATGGTGGAGATGATTTTCGGCGTAGTAAAGATCCATTTTACAATAACGAAAGTCGTCGTTTGCTCTCCTCCATAAGTCACGATTCCGGTTATGTCTGCCACAATGGTGATCTTAATAATGGCGGTCTTAATGGTATTGCAGCTTGTTCGTTGGGCAAAAGTAGTGGTTACATTGGTTCAAATAATTCCACGGATTACTGTACCCAAGAGACATTTGTGGCCACTGACAATGTAAGTGACGATAGCTGTGTCATTGATCAGACACCAGTTGTGGATGACGCATATATGGTTATGGAATTACTAAAATCCAATGACAATAAATTGTCAAGATCGTCGTCTAGTACAACATTCGATAACATTATATCACAGTCGGAGAGAAACGGCAATGGCTATGTGCAACCAAACTTTTCAGTTATATCAGCTCTTAGCGGCACTAAAAACACTGTTCCATCCATGACAGCTACAAAATTGCCGGCATCTTTTATGCCCACTGACAATGGTTATATTAAACAAATACCAACGTCTATGCACACACAACTCTTGCCTTCTGAAAATGGGTACATAAAGCCAAATAACCTTCTTAATTGGCCCAGGGAAAAGATGCCGACACAACAAACATCAATGGCGCATGCAACTCAACTTCAAAATACTATGGCAGGTTTGCCAATCAATAGTTCGGGTTATGTGGCGCCACAGTTACTGCAAAAGGTTTGTATTACTACCATATGATTGTTGTTTTTATGATGTTAGAGTTGCGATGTCGTCATATATAATAATGACCTAGTCATTATTATTAACGCAATTTTAATAATCGAAAAATTCGAAAAAGATTCTGATATGTCAGGATTAAAGAAAATCTATGTACATACATATTCGTCATAAATATTTACAAAATTAAGAATAAAAGATTTCGTTAAAGTTTTATTATTTTTATATGTTTCGATTTTTTGAAATTTTATTTGTGTTTATTTTATTCATTTTTACAATTTTAAATTGCAGCCCTTAATACCTTCTTCCGATGGCTATACTTCACTAGAGGCCTTGGGTAAAACCCTAAAATCAACACAACCAACCATGTCACAAACATTTATCAATCCAGATGAGGGTGGCGGAGGCAACATTTTGAACTCAAATATGCCGCCTATATCCGGTTATGTCACACAAAAGGAATTATCGGCTTTTGGCCAACAACAAAAATTTAATTGATTCCTAATTTAAATTATAATCTATTTATTCTGTCTGTACAAAATGAGATTCTATAGTGACTAAAAAAAGAACTAACTAAATTAATTATAAATATTAAAGAAAGAAAGTTACTAACTACAACAAAACAAACAAAAATATGAAACCATTGCCCACATCAATTGGAAAACCTTGTACAATCTAATCATTAATAAGACTTTATTACTACACCTTTACATATAAATAAGTTTTATTTTTAAAATAGTAATTATTGTTTTTGTTTGCCCTGCAACTACTAAAACAAATTAAAATGTTTGTAATAATAATTAAGTTTATATGCATTAAATGTTGTATTATAAATATTGTAATTAGTATAATTTATTTTGTATTTTAAATTATTGTATATGTATATTACAACAATTAAAACAACAAACTGCAAAGTGCCTTTTTATATACATATACGAATAAAATAATTAATTTATAATCTTTTCATTGACAATTTTTATAATATTTTAAAACACACTGACCCGCCATTGTTTCAATTTTAAACTGGACTCTCTTCCGGCTGCTATTCATATTCATAGTCGTATCATCTGTTTCGCCCCAACACATGTCTTCTATTTTAATTATTATTATTATTTTTGATTTAACTATAAGTTTGTTAATATTGTTGTGCTTTCATCACAGTAACTATTTTTTTTATATTATTACTATTATTATTTAATTTTTAGTTTATAAAATCATTAAGAAATCAAATAGAATACGACAAGTGCATATAGTTATGTACATGTGTACATATTTGTATGTATGTATATCGTACAATAGTATTCTGTAAATTGAACAACCTATGTTAGGTATTTTTGTAATTATTTTCATTTTATTAAGTATTAAGTTGACATTATTTGTATTGTATTGTTAATTTTAAATTTTAGCTTTAAAACACGCAAACAAATACATACACACACATGTGAATATTTCGTGGCCTTAATATGAAAAGATGTGTCTTTTCTTTTGTGTAGCTAGCTTTTCTTTTTTAAGAAAAAAGAACTAAGTTTACAGTATTTTGTAATAATGTTTGAGTGAATAATATTTTTAGCTTTTCATTATCTATAGAGTAAAACGTACTTAAAAAATTATTAACTCTTGTATATTACGAGTGTATTTAATAAACAAAAGTAACATTTTAACTTAAAAAACGATAGTGTATTTATTTCAATTTATTTGGCTTGTTAAATAAAAAATCGTTTAAAATTTAATTCCCAGCAAAAGAAAATTTTAAAATTTAAAACATTTTTATACACATATCGATCGAATGCAATTACGATATTGTTGCATTGTTGTTTGTTATCTCCACGAAATAAATCAGTTCTTCACTGCGCGTAACCTGCGAAGTCGTCAACAACACTTTTTACCACCTGGACGAAGGAAGTAAACCTAACCCTTGGCATTGTGATAGATGGAGTTCAAATTTCGACCATGCTCCACCCAAAAGTCTTGGGGGTCACATTTGATAGCCTCTTTACCCGGAAGTAAACCTGTCGCGGAATACAAGAGTAGTGCTGGCACAGCTATGACCGGGATGGAGCAACAGGCTCAATGCGTGTGGTCAGGGTCCTTATGACACCTACCACATATTCAACTGCTCAACCCTACTATGTCCAATGGATTTATGGATGCATCCAATATTTAGGCCAGGACATTGATGTATAACCCCACAACTAGATTATTTTATAGTTTTAGCTGTTACAACAACAACAACGATATTGTTTTTCTAGGCAATCTTACAATTTTCAACTATTGATAATAAAAATTAAACTGACATGAGCCTAATTATATAAAAGGATGAACATCTTTTTCCTTTTTATTCAAATCATTGTAAGTAATTAAGTGTTGACTACTGAAATTTTTTGTGCAATTGTGGATAAGTGTGTGCCTTTTCGTGACATTGTGTTAAGTGGTAAAGTGACAGTAAAATGGGTGATGGCGCTCAGATATCAAGTATATTGTGAATATTAGTTGGAAGAAGAATCCACCGACAAAATGGTGAATAAGAATTTAACAAGTGCTGCGCATGTGGGGTATGATGTTGGTGTTTTGGGTAATGGACATGAGGACATAAGATCATAAGTGGAGAAAAGAAGACTTGATGGTTTGCTCTACGTCAGGAAAAAAATTGATTATATATTTGATAGTTCGATTATTATGGTTAGAACTATCAATTTGAGGAACAATTTTATCATTGTCTTTTGAAAAAAATTGTTTATATATTTGATAGTTACAACTATCAATTTGAGGAACAATTTTATCATTGTCTTTTGCTAATTTTTTCCGGGCATATTGGATTATGTTTTCTGCAATTAAATGGAAAAATTGCTTAACCCTTTTGAGAATGTACTCCTTATAGGAGATTTCAATGTGCACAATGTTTTTGTGGTGATAAGAAAATCCAAGCTTAGCTTTTGTCCGATCAGTTTGCATTTTGTTGTATCAATAATGGTAACTTACTTTTGAACCTAATTTGTATTGTGTAGTTGTTGCTGGGATTGACAGCACTTGGCCGATAATTTCGGGTCATTCCGGTACGGCTGTCGGGAAATGAATATACCTTGACAGACTGTTTACTCCTCAGCTCATGCCACTGCAATTACGCACAGATTGCGAAGTAGAAACAAGGGGCAATGGACAAATAAACCTTGTTGGCTACCTATAAAACAATTGGCCGGTCAGTGGTAAATTAGTGGAAGAGTCATCCCAACTTCAACATCACAAAGTTGGATGATCTCCCGAGGCATATCAGGAAGGATCTTCGTGTATACGAGGAGAGCATACGAAGATATGTGCAGGATCCCTTGGATCGGAGTTCGTATACAGCAGCTTTGAACGACATTCAGAGAGACGCCATCAATACCGCGGTTTCAGGTTACCGCATGAATGCCATTTTTGGAGGTCGCTCACCGCGGAAAAAAAGAGTTGTTCTGGTACAACTGAGATCGGGATGGAGCAACAGGCTGAATGCCTACAGTTCCCGCATAGACCGTGCCGTAGCATGTGGACAGGATTCCCATGATACCCACCACATATTCAATTGTTCAGCACACCCTACTTCACTTAGCCCAATGGATTTATGGACTAACCCTATTCAAGTAGCCCATTTTCTTGACTTGGACCTAAATACAGAACCCCTGGATTAAAAATTGTATAGTTGCTGTTGTATAATATTAATAGGCTAGTTTTGGATTGTTGTCAAGACTGATTTGAAATGTGAATGGAAAACACTACCCTTCATGTTTCTTCATTTTCCGATAGAGATTAATTTTCCAACGAGTAATACTATTAGGGGCTTTAGGAGCTTGTCTGACGAACTGAAGAAATCTCAGACAAGCTCAAGCCTGCTACATTTTGGTGGAAAGTACTAAATATAAACTTAAATTGCAATGAGACATTCAAACATCCTACTAGTATAGGTACGAGGACACGGGGACTTTATAGGCAACTATATCGCTCGCGAAAATAGGTTCACTATTGCCCGACTCGGACATAGACCATTTTTTTGTGTTACTTCGATGAGTATGCAAAGGACACATAAATAATATGTTCTACGATCTTTCCCAGGCAAGATGGAGGAAGGAACTAGTATTCAAACAAGGAAGATATAGCCAAAGCTCGATAAGGAGCGCAGGGGCATTCTTCTGAAACATATCTGATCTCAACTCAGCAAGTTGATAGCTGCCATCACATTTGGTAACCATGTAATGAGACTTGAAATGCATTACAATGACTACTGTAGCAGTTGACAGAAGGAAGAAGAAGAGTCAATTGAACATCTTTTATGCCACTGTCCTACATAAGGGGACATTCGATATTTGGTACATCGATTTCTGGAGGACACCTCAGAGTTATCTGCAATTATATTAGATAATCTAAACGCCTTTATAACGTATTGCGGTTGGTTTTATGAAACAAACTCTGAAAACACTGATTAGGAGCTCTTCGAGTCTAATATTATCTCCCTCTGAATTTAATCACTCTCACTACTCCCCAACTCAGACGTGAATAACGATTGACAAAAGCCGTTGTATCTAAAGCACCTGCGTTCAGATCCGATACTTTTTTAATGTTTCTTGCTTACTAATGAGTGACATGAACTTTCAATTTATGTATCTTGAAGTAATTTCATCTTGATATTTTTGAAAAGCAGCTTCCAAGAGACATTGTCATCGCCCTATCTGAGAGTACTATCATTTAATAATTTCTTTATGCATATATGGAACTAATTTTAATTAAGTCCAGAAAAAATTATAGTGTGATTTCGGATATGGACTTTTTACGAGTGCTTTGAGCTGTTATGCGCCGTTTTTTCCGATGCCAAAAAATTTTGGAGAATGGTATATTTACAAAACTTATTCCTTTTGAGTTTTACTCCGATGTCGATATTTTTTCATGAATTGTATTCGTTTAAGTGATTTCGGTAAATTTCGGAAATGGTCCTTATATAAGAGTTATGAGCAATTATGGGCCGATCCGGAAAAATAATTTGTATGTACACAAAACATATTCAAATAGATTTTTACCCCGATAGCTTTATTAATTAATTAAATATTTGTGTTCCGATGTGGACCTTATATAGGAGCTATGGCCAATTACGGATCTATCCGGAAAAAATAGAGTAGATACCTTTATTTATCAATGAAATATGTGCGTTTAAGTGATTTTCGGAAGTGAAAGTTATGTATATGACCAATTGTGGACTGTTCCGGAAAGAATTTCTCGGAATGATTTATAAATACACAAATCATATTCAAGTCGAATTTTATCGTGATAGGTTTATTAATCAATGAAATAGTGCTTTTAAGTGATTTTCGGAAAAGGACCTTATATGGAAGATATGACGTACAATAACATATTCATGTCGAATTTTATCACCATAGTGAAGTGAACCTCATATGGCAGCTATGATAAATTGTGTACCGATACAGATCTACGTGGTAAATTTTGTGTTGATAGTGATATATTTGATCGAGCTATTCACGATAAATATATTCTTTTCCTTGAATATGTACCTTTGTATGGGGGAAATTTGGGATCGATTGTTATGAATTTGAAGATAATTGATCCCTTGCCGAAAAAGATAACGTGTGAAAATTCATCGAAATCACTTTGGTAGAGAATTAGGAGATAGTCTGGAATTTTTACTCATAACTTTTTATGTCGTGAACTGATTTTGCTTTGATTTCCAATACCAATCTGCTTAGGACAATAATAAATATTTTCGGTGAATTTTGTTAATTTTCTTAGAATTTCACAAGAATATATCTTGATGTTACACACGGAACGACAAACTTATGTATACCCTCTATCACCACTAATGATGGTGGAGGGTATAAAAATGTTGTAATAGTTTTGATGTAAATAAGCGATAAATTAGGGTATAACCAAAAGTAGGCCCTATTACTACGTGGTAGCCAGTAGTGTTCTAATAACAAAAACCTTTTTCATGGGTCATTTTGGTCTATAACCATTTAAATTTAAATTAATTTTTAAAAGTTTAATCTACATGTTTGTGTAAATATCGGGGGTTAAACAGTGATATGTATGTCGAATGGATAGGGACGATTTGTATATATTTGTGGATGAAATGTCTGCCTATATTAAGCTGTTTAATAATTCCCACTTCAATCAATACAAATTTTTGAAATCATCAGCGTTTATAATTGTTTGGTGTTGTTATAATTGTTACAGTGAGTGTGTTGACGTTGATGTTATGCTTGTTGTCATTATATTTATTATTTAATTTGTGGCTTTTGATTCTTCACTTACAACGGCGATCAATAAAATATCAAATGGTTTTAAATACAAACCTTAGGAATTAAAACTGACTTAATTACAGCCTTCAATTATACGGAATTGTAGTCGAAAAATGATAAAAATTATGTTATTGTAAGATAATTTTACAATAACAAAATACATGGTTTTCAAATTTTGATCATCTGGAAGTTTACAACAAGTAGGAAATTATAGTCGGACAGGGCCGACCATATGATGCCCTAACCTATCATTACAAATATTTTGAAGATGTTGTACTATATTTGACGTAGTAATGAGCTAAAAAACCAATATCAGAAGGTCAGGTTTTAGGTGAAAAAATGGACCGACTTCAACAATTT